TTTTTCACGAACTTTTCATCTACTCTGAAATAGTAAGCCATGGTTTTCCTTTCCCTGAAGCTGATTTGATTCCCTGACAATATTTTCCAAGGAAATTGTTTGTTCTTCTTATTATATCTTCTAGTTGCTCTATGAGATCATGGAATAATTAATATACTCTGAAGCTAGTTTTGTTTTAGGTTCTATGAGGAGCTAGTATTTATCTGTAATTAATAACAGAAGTAGAAATACTTGGTCTGCTTACATGTTACTCAGATTTGTCTTTTTCTCCTCTGTTAGTGCAGTTTGGAACAAGTGGGGTGTGGTGTAACCCAAACCAGTCTGATTAGTAGTTGTTCTAATCTAGTAGGGTTTGTAAAGTGTACTTGAGGACTTGGTCTTGTATGTATTTTGTTAGTACCTCTGCTTCTTATTCTCTTAATAAGAAAATTCATTCTGAATAATTTTAAACATATACAAAAATAGAATAATATAATAAACCTCCATTATCCAAAATGACAAATTCAAAATTTGTTAACTCATGGCCAACATAATTTTGTTTATGTTTGCATAAATTCTTCTCCTCCAAGATTAATTTGACACCTATCTCAAACATTATCATTTAGTATAAAATGTGTATTATTAAATTAATGTATAGTTAACATTTGTTACAAAGCATAATCATTTTTTAAAAGATAACTAATATATTTCTTGGAAACACTGTCCTGTCTGTGCTTCAGATCCTTATTCTCAGTGCTTTTAAGAGAGAGCTGTTTCTAATACCAGAGCTTTTATTAGCCCCTGGAATCAAGAAGCTCTATAGTTCTCAAGAGGAAAAGAATAATTCATTTGATTATCATCATAATCAATGAAAATGGAAGCTTTAAGTGGAGAATCTCATAATTCCCAGGGTCCAGTCATTATAAAGGAACCAGAATAATTTACTCAGAAGTTCTTGAGGTTAGGAAGAGATGACTAAGAATTTCTTTGTGAAAAAAAGTCAGAAGAACTTGTACTAATATAAAAACAACTATTGTACTTGAAAAACGGTCCCTAAAAACCATTGTGTTTCAGGTTGAGACAAACTCAGGCAATCTCTGTTATCAATAAAATAATAAATATGAGTTTATATGATTAAATGTAATGCTTTCTTATCTCACTAAACTACATGAAGCCATATATTGTGACTATTTTTAGAAAGAGAATACTGAGATTTTATGCTCTGTGCTGAAATTATACAATATCTGGAATTTGCCTTAAATAGTCTAGGGTGAAAGAGAGTGATTGACTGTAAGGGAATGCATAATTTTCATTGCTGGGCAGTGAGTATATGGAGATTCATGATGATATTCTACTTCTGCTCATATTTGAATTTTTAAATAAAATCATTAAATATCATATTTAAAAGACTAGAGAAACATAATCAGACTATCAACTTGTCTCAAGAAGTCAAAAGGCCAAGTAAAAATATTTGGGCTTTAAAAAAAAAAGGATAGAAGTTATTTCCTTCTGAAGCAACATACGTGTTCACCTGAACAAGCCAATGAGCCTCTCTAGACTTTGGTTTTCACTTGTATAAAAATATGCACTCTGATTTAAACAAGGGATGAGATTTTTTCAGACACTTCTATGTAATATATAGATATTAATTCCTAATACTTTGCAACAAAATATTCCTTAATAATGTAAACCTGCAATTAGTTGAATGTTTGCCACGTAGTTATTCTGTCATCTATGGAAAGATCTAGTCATTACACTGCAGTTGTTGTTTTGTGCATTGTGTGATGGAATATAGCAAAAATGTAGTAAAAAAAAGTATGTAGCAAAAATCATGGTAGTTATAGACTTTAAAATATGATTATTGCCATAGCATAATGCTAGGATGTCTTTTCCTGGAGAGAAACATGGACTTTGAAGTTCTGAATTAACTCCTGCCCCATTATTTCTTTCTTCATAACCATCTGTCTTTCAGACTTCATTTCTGGACCCTTCCTGTTAGAATTTGAAAATACATTACTGTGCTGAGTTATACTCCATTATGATATTTGGGTTTAATTCAGGATTTTCATACATTTTCTATGATGGCTCTAGGGATGGAATCTAAGGCCTTGCACCCTCTCACCCTATCCCTTCCCCTTGGACTGGGGTTTTTTAGCGAGTGGCTTTCATCTTTAGTTTATATTTCCTATTTTCTCACCAGATCTAGAATATTAGAGATAAAAATAAGTGAACTTTTTAAAGTAGCAAAATTGTCTGCTCCACGAGCTTTGTCTTGTCCACACATTGGAACTGTGTCAGTTTTCTTCTTTGCATTTTCTGTAGCTAGATTATCTTATCTGGAACCCATATATCCTCTAGAGTGTAAAACATTCCTAGAGTCTCCTGTGAAACTATCACATTAAAAGCATCCCATTTCTCCCGCGCTCAGAGCTAAGACCTTGCCTCCATATCTCAGGAGCACTGCTTTTTATGGTATACCGAAATAAGTGTCTTATTTTCTCACTGTACTCTGCCAAATGGATATTTATTACTGAACTGTACCTGAGCATGCCATTTATGGAAAGCATGACTGAACTGACTATCTTTCCTCAGCCTGTCTTTTGTAGTCACTTCAGCTCTCCCTAGGCCTGTGTTTCTCAGAGAGCTAGCATCAGAATCATCTTGGAGGATGTGTTAAAAATTCATATTCTTGGGCTTTACATCAGCTGTGCTGAATCATAATATCTGAGATGATGATCAAGGATTTACATTTTAAAAAAGTGAAGCTTGCAAATCCTGGACTAAAGTCTTACATCGTGCCCTTGGAATTTAGTTTTTTCTGGACCCAAGTTTTCTTTTAGTTTTTCCTCTTCAGTTTCATTGTTTTAAGCCTCCCTGTCTGGAGTGTTTTGAGTCTGGGATTATTAGGTTCATAAGAAAATAAAACAACAACAATAAAAAACCTGGGCTAGTTTTTGACAAACAAGGATGATTCCCTCAACCATAACTATTTATGTTACTACCATCCCTTTTACTACAATCCACGGTCTTCTTGATCTAGCATTAGACTAGGAACATATGCATGATATGATATTACTAACAACAGTGTGCATAGAAGTGCCTTTTAAAAAGCACCTAATAAGTGCTATATATTATTCAATAAAAAAATCAGTTAATGAACTCAAAGTCTGTTTGGGGGCTCTGTACAACTTGCCCCCTGATTGTAGTATGAAAACAATGAAGAACATACTTTCTGCTCAAGGGAAGCTCCTAATGAGGATAAAATAAACACACAACGCAACAGGAAAACAACTGCAAAGCAGCATACCTGACTCACATACCAGATATGCTCTTTAGTTGTGTAACTCTGAGTGACCCGGAAGATTTGGAATGTTTACCTGTGTATCAACCACTGCATCTGTTGCTTTATCTCTCATTCTATGTGTTCATCTTTAACAAACATCTGTCATGTGCTGTCTCCATATTTACCTGTCTTTACCACAGTACATTGAGAATATAAACTCTATAATAGTAAGTTAATCAGAAAAGATCTAAAAAGAGGTGGTGAATGGAAGGGAGATGTCCCAAGTGCCCACAAGTGAGTGGGGAATATTTACATGGGGGAGGATTCCAGCACTACAAGATAGTATTGATTTTAGAACTGAATATTCCATATTTGACAGGCCCAGTCTGTCAAGTATGGGCCAATTCAGTAACTGTTGACTTCTGATAGTGGTAATTGTGGTGTTCTGGCTCAGAGATTTGAGATTTTATGAAGTGTAACTTCATTCTGTTTGGGGACTGTCTTACTTTTTCTTGTTACTGGGACAAAATAGCTGACACTCACAAGTTAATGAAGGAAAGGTTTATTTTAACTCACAGTTCATGGGCGTTTCAGTTCATAATGGGCTAGCTCCAAGGTAGGATAGCATGGCAGAGAGGCATCACAGAGAACTAAAAGTTCATGGAGGACAGAAGACAGCAAAGCCGGGCAGTAGAGAAGCAGCAGCAGCTGGCCTGCCTTCTTTCTGTCTCTTTATATTCATTCAGCATACCTGCCCTGTGGGTGGTGGGCCCTGCCATTTTCCACATCCAGAAATACGCCAAGCCAATCACACACTTAATCCCAGCATCATACACTTAATCCCAGCATCACGAACCCTAGATCCAGCTACCTCTGAAAAGCCTCACCCATGACCACATGAGGCTTTAGGAGGACACCTAGCCACAAGGGATGTAAGCATCAGAAGAGTGTTTTTGTTTGGGAAATTTTCTTCCTTTAGAAATAGTAACCTTTCTCATATACAAATACGTTAGGCAGTATGATGTATTTGCCAAATGTGGATAGACATATTTCAATTATAGCAAAGTCTCCTTTGCAATTTAATTTTCCAACTTGTATGAGGAAAGATGGAAAGATTTTCTCTTGGAAACTAACAAGTAAGTGTAGTCACATTTAAAGTGGCCACTGCATAAACCATCTGCACAAGGACCGAATTCTAAAAACAATTAAAATTTGATCATCTTTTGATGCATATCTTATATGAAATTTTCATTGTGAGCTACTCATATAATAACAATTTGATTTATTTTCTGTATCATAATATCATATGTGGGCACATATTTTAAAGCTGTCAGTGAAAAACTTTCATTCTTTTTTTTTGAACAAATGCTGTGTGATAGTTAAGCTAGGCTGTAAATTTGATTGGCTTGGAAGCTGCTCAGAGAACTAGTAAAGCACCCTTCTGGGGCTGTCTGAGTGGGTAATAGAAGTGTGACCCTGGGCTCTGGGTCTGCGCCTCTCCATCTCTGATGCAGTTCCCGCACTCTGCTTCCCAGGTGCTTCCTTGTTTGCCATTCCTTTCCGCCATGAGGTTCCAAAGATCCTTGAAACCAGCTAGCTGATCTTGGACTGAATCTTCTGCAGCCATAAGCCTAATAAATCTCTCTTTTAAATTGTTGGTGTGGGGTTTGTTCTAGCAACTGGAAATCTGACCAAAACACTTTTACTAATGCCTTCTACATGTCTGGACCTGTTATAGGTTCTGGAGATACAGTGATAAACAAGATGAAATTCCTCATGGGGCTTACATTCTAGTGGGGATGGAAGATGACAATACATATGGAAAAGAAACATCTAAAAGGTAACTTCAGAGGCTCATAAGTTATATCTTTCAGTTAAAACTAGGGAATGAGAAAGACAGGGTTTTGTGGAGGCATTGGCAAAGATAATAATCAGTAGTGGCTTTTTGAGAAGATGACACTTGAGCTGAGTTCTAAGTGATGTGAAGGAACCAGGCATGAGAAAAACAAGGAGTAGGGTAATCTAACTGATAGAAAGAATATAAACAATCAGAGAGCAAGAACTAAGTTGACATGTTGATTAAGCATTAATTGATTTCTCTGGACAAATATTTGCCCAGAGGCTGTTTTGTGCCAGGTAACACATATTTTAAAATGTTAAGGAAATGGTGATAAAGCAAACATATCAGCTTCTGGGTCTCATAGAACTTAGGTTCTGGTCATGAAAGACAAGAAAAACAAAAATTAAAAAAGAAGGAAGGAAGGGAAGAAGAAAGAAAAGAAAGTAGAAAGGAGAAAATATTGAGTATTGAATAATGATAGGTGAATTAATTTTAAATAAGACAGAATAATATAACAGGTATTTTTTGATTGGTTACAAGATGTGGGGGCAGAGCATGCCTTTCTGAATAAATGATCTCTATAATCAGAGGGTGCCAGTGTGAGGCTCACACTTGCATTGGACACTCCAGTCTGTAGGCTGGGACATAGTAAATTAGGGACAGGATGTCCAGGAAGTAGGGATGGGGAGTGGGCCTGGTAGGAGGGGAAAAGAAGGGAACCTCTGAACCTCTGTGCAGACATGTGAAACCCTATTACTCATGAATGTATATGGGAAGACATGGAACTGTACTCATTTGAATTTCTAGAAAAGGGAAACAATAAAATTAGATACTTTATTATTAGTAGAAAATAACATGCAAGTCTCTTCCCAAAGTTTTGGGATATTAAGATTGAACACAGGTATTTTACTTGATGGGGCTGTGTGACAAAATGAGTGAGCTTTTGCTAAGTAAGAGATAGTTTTAATATCAGTGAACCTTACAATTAAAATAATGAGAATATGAAAATTAGTATGGATTTGAGCAATCTTGCAAAGGCAAGGATCCACTTGTCTTAGTCTCCTTACAATATTTGTTATGGTTTGTGTCCGGATGTCCCCTCAAAGCCTCATGCAGTCATGGGGTGGACTTCTAGAGTTTGTGATTGATTCATGGTCCAATGCTGGGATTATGGGTGTGAGTGCTACACCTGCCCTGAGGTAGGTAGCTTCTATACAATGCAAGGGAGGGAAAGAGGCTGCTTGTTGCCTCCCGTTTTGCTCTTGTTGCTTTTGCTCTTTTTTGCCACCATGAACTGTTGCCCTCTGCCATGTGCCACTCTGCCTTGGAGCCATCTGATTATCAACTGAAACTTCCATAAACTATAAGCTAAATAAACCTTTCCTTCCTTAATCATGGGCATCAGGTATTTTGTCTCAGCAATGAGAGAAAAGTGACCAAGATACCATTTTACTAGCAGAGTAGATTCACAGCCTAGATACCCATCATAAGATGGATGGGTAAAGACTATATGGTATTTATGTACAATGGAATATTGCTCAGCCATAAAGAAGGAAAAAATCATGTCATTTGCAAGAAAATGGAGATAGTCATGTCAGGTTAAATAAGCCAGATGCAGAAAGAAAAGTGCAATATGTTTTTTTCTCATATTTGAAACTGGACGAAATAGATGACCAAAAAGTAGGGATGGGGAATGGGACTGATAGGAGGGGAAAAGAAGGGAAGACAAGGAAGAGTAGTAGGAAAAGTTTGTACCATCAAAGCACAATTGAACATGTGTGAAAACTCAGGAGAGAGACATTGCTTTGTGCAAAAATATGCATTAACAACTATAATCTTAAAAAGTATGGATTCCAGCTGGAATATATTTTCTGTTTTCTTTGTGATTATATATATATATATATATATATATATATA